CCTGGTCAGAGGTCCCTGGTCAAACTGGTCAAATGTTAGGAACCAAAGATCTAGAGACTATGCTTCCATTAATGTAGCCTACAACTGCATTGGCTTTTAAAAGTTGCCGCATCAGATTCTGGACTCATGTTTGGCTTATGGTCCTCTTAGACCTCTAGACTCCTTTCACATGGGCTGTGCATTTCATTTCTTCTGCCTAAGTGGAAAGCATTTCTCTCTGGTGAAGTTCATTTAGCCTCCTCTTCACTTCTCCCCATTACTACTGTTTACCTGTGCCCTCCAAACTCAGTTTGCAGAATTGAGGGAAGAAGTAAAGAGAGGAGAGAAATTGAATGAGAAACCAAGATGTTTTCAAACTGAATGAGAAAGTGAGATGACACAGAAGTACTCAGGACCGTTCCTGGTCAAGAAAAGGATGAACTATGCCACAACAAGCTCAGAGAGACAGATCAACCTTTCAGAATTGGAGACCTAACAGAAACAGAGAACCTACCAGGTAACGCAGGAAAAATGTTTGAGAAAGCCAAGGACATGGAAAGTGACCCTCACATTGTTGGATTGGGCCCTGGATTTGAGCTCCCTAGATGTGGGCTGGATGGATCACAGCATAAGACGGCTTCAGATGTTCCCCTCAAGATACATCTCCGATGCTGACTGACTCTGACTCAACGGGCCAAGGACACGACTCTATCTGACAAATCCATCTTCGTCCATGTGGTTTGCTGGATCCAAGACTGAAACACCTACATTACTAGTCTCAGGAACAATCCAGACCAGTGTTTGTATATTTTTCAGCCTTGGAAAGTTGACACATTAGAACCTGTTCCTACAAGAAAGATGCAAGCTGGAAAGGGATCTGTTTCAAACCACCAAGAGATTGCTTTTTGGATGTTTTCCTGATCCAATTAAAGACGCCTCCTTTTCGTCTAATAACATGCATTGTCTCCATTGGAGCGCCAAGAAAAGAACAGCACTGCAAGGATGGACTGAAATCTAATTTTTTTTTCATATTAGAAGGAAAGGAAAATGACATCATTCCCTCACTGGAAAATTCAGCACCAAGACATCTGAGTTCACCAGTCCTGTCTAAATATATCAAGCAAGGCTTTGGCTTGCCTGCGGACCTCACGATCCGGGCAATTTCGCCCTTTTTTTTTTCCTCCTCGTTTTCAGGCAAAGGTCTGACAGTCATTGTTTTTCAATCTGGAGATGGAAAACTGTAATTCTGGAAAGCAAATACGAGGGTTCTCCGGAAAGTAAGGTTACAAGAAAGTAAGGTGTATGAGACGGAGATGTCCTCTTACACAGACAGCCTCCAGCCTCCACAAACAGGCTATAGTTCCAAGTGCTAAGAAGCCCCTGAAGGCACTCCCTCCACAGGGAGGCATCCCAGGGTTCCTTGTGTGGGATTTTTTCCACGTTTTTTCCCCTTCTTTTTCCTTTTTTTCTTTGTTTCTTCTCTCTTTTCCTTCCCTTTTCATCTCCCTTCCCAATTTCTATCTACTTTTTGTCCTGTCCCAGCTTCCCAATTTTTTCTACCCTTACTTTTTTTTAATAATAGGGCTTTCCCTTTTACCCTTCCCCTAGATAGCACTATTTCCTGTCTCCCAAATCTTCCACCCCTCCTCCCCAAATTTCTTACCCTGAATTCCTCCTCTTTTTCTTTCAAAAATAAATCAAAACTATTAAAAATAACATGGAGCCCATACGCTGCCAATGTCCTCCCCAAACACTATGGCCCACCACCCAAGGAAGGCATTCATTCGGGGAGAATTTCATCCTAGATCCTAGATTTAACATGTTTCCTCCACCACAGGCAGGCATCCCAGGGTTCCTTGTGTGGAATTTGCATGACCCCGCCCCCTGCCTCTCTCTTAACCCTTTCCTACCCTTTCCTATGGCACAAAGCAAAGTTTGGTCCAGATCCATCACTGGCTAGGTTCACAGTACTCTCTGGACATAGGTGAACGATTATTTATTTATTTATTATGGGATTTATATGCCGCCCTTCTCACCCCAAAGAGGACTCAGAGTGGCTTACAAGATATATATACATACAACATATTATATTATTAGCATAGTACAATTATCAGTATTATATATAACTATAATGTACTATACCATTATATTGTAATATTAGTAGTAATATTACATGTAATATAAAATATATAATTATAATATTGTATTAATATTATTAGTATTATATTGCATTACATTATAATATTATAAATATTATATGTACATACAATATATTATATTATATTATTAGTAAAGTACAGGAGGCAACTACAACTCCTATAAATCAAGGTCAATTCCCCCAAACATGGCCATGGGGGTTCTGTGTGCCAAATGTGGTCCAGGTCCATTATCAAAGGGGGTCAGAGTGCTCTGCCTTGATGCAGGGTGAACTACAACTTCCATCCTGTTTTGTCAGTCCCCCAAACCCCTCCAGTCTGTTCAGCTGCTGATCAATCCCTCTGTGTTTGCTTTGTGGCATAAGAAAGGATAAGAGAGGGTTAAGGGAGAGGCAGTGGGTGGGGTCATGCAAATTCCACACAAGGAACCCTGGGATCCCTGCCTGTGGTGAAGGAAAAACATCAAATCTAGGATGAAATCCCCATACATTCCCCAAATGAATGCATTCATTCGGGGAGAATTTCATCCTAGATCCCAGATTTGACATGTTTCCTCCACCACAGGCAGGCATCCCAGGGTTCCTTGTGTGGAATTTGCATGACCCCGCCCTCTGCCTCTCCCTTAACCCTTTCCTATGGCACAAAGAAAAGTTTTTGGGTGGTGGGCCATAGTGTTTGGAGATGACATTGGCAGTGTTTGGGCTGCACATTCATGGCGCTCGGACTAACCTGCAGTGTCAATGGAGGGAGTGCCTTTGGAGGCTTCTCAGCACTTGGAACTAGAGCCTGTTTGTGTAGGCCGGAGGCTGTCTGTGTAAGTGGACACCTCCGCCACACACACATATACACAGTTTTCACTTTTCGCCTGTACCTTCTCGCTATCCTGGCATCCCTATGTAAACACAGCGAGGCTTGGGAAAGCATTGGAGACGGCGCACAGATGAGACAAAACAAAACAACATGCAGCAATGACACGTCCAGGAGTTCCAAGGCATTTGTGTCACATTTCTCCTTCCCAAGCCAATGCAGACCACCTCCTCTAGGCCTTCTGCCTTCTCCTCGCCAGGCCCAAGTCCGGCTGTCCTCCAAGGCAGCTTTCCGTACGCTTTGCTGACTAAGTGCGCACCCAACCATCCATTGCCGATGTGGAAACTCACCGAGTGGGCCTGCCTCTTCCTATTCCCAACGCAAACCAGACCAAAGCCACCTTCAGAGAGGGCCAGGAAGGACAAAGGTGGGGGGATCGCAAGGGAAAGGCCTACGCTTCCCACAGCAGCCATGTGGCTGCGATCCAGAGGAACAAAAAGGCAGACATCGGTGGGAGGGGGGGATTTACCGCAGCAAAAGCGCCTTAAAGACACTGGGAACACGCGTTTCTGATCCCTTGGGCAGACAAACAGAGGGGAATCCGTTAACCAAGAGGACGCAGGTTTGCAATCCTGACCTCGGATCGCAAAAGAGGGGAGTCGAAAGAGCAGCAGCTGGGATCTCAGAATATCAATTAAGATGATGATGATGAACTTTATTTCTATCCTGCCTTTCTCCCCATCAGAATCTCTACTAAGATATTATTATTATTGATATATCTATCCTACCATTCTTCCTATCAAAATATCTATTATTATTATTATTACCATCCTTATTTCTATCCTGCCTTTCTCCCCATCAGAATATATATTGATTATTATTATTATTATTATATATTTATTTCTATCCTATTGTTATCCCATCAGAATATCTACTATCATTATTATTTCTAACCTGCCTTTCTCCCAATCAGAATATCTATTATGATTATTATTATTATATTATTATTATTATTATTCATATATATATATTTCTATCCTATCATTCTCCACATCAGAGTATCTACTATTATTGTTGTTATTATTATTATTATTACCATATTTATTTCTATCCTGCCATTCTCCCCATCAGAATATCTACTACTACTACTATCATCATCATCATCTCTATTTCTATCCTGCCTTTCTCACCATCAGAATATCTATTATTATATTATTATTCATATATACATATTTAGTTCTATCCTACCATTCTCCCTATCAGAATATCTCTATTGTTATATTATTATTATTATTATTATTATTATTATTATTACTATTACCATCATCATCATCATCATCATCTATATTTCAATCCTGCCATTCCCCCATCAAAATATCTACTGTTATCATCATCATTATTTCTGTCTCACCTTTCTCCCATTAGAATATCTATTAAGATTATATTATTTTTATTTGTATCCTGCCATTCTCCCCATCAAAATATCTATATTGTTATTGTTGTTGTTATCTTTATTTGTATCCTACCATTCTCCCCATCGGAATATCTATCTATCTATCTATCTATCTATCTATCTATCTTCATCATCATCATCATCATCATCATCATCTTTATTTCTATCCTGTGATTCTCTCCATCAGAATATCTATATTATTATTATTATTATTATTATTATTATTATTATTATTATTATTTCTATCCTCCCATTCTACTAGGATGATGGTGATGATGACTGTTATGCTGTCAGTACGATCTTTCTTTGTACCCCACCGTTCTCCCCATAGGTACTCGATATCAAGGGTGATGAGGAAAGAAGGCCGGGCTCAGAACCATGCCCGCAATCCCACCCCCCAAATAAAAGAATAATAAAAGAAGACAGCAGGGGTCTTAACGCAGCAACGCAGCTGGCGGCACCCCTTCCTCTCCCACCGCG